CGATGAGAAACATGGCTGGGGAAAGTGGGATGATTAAATCATCCGGATTTTCCGACAGATAGGTAAGAGGTCTAGAGTTAATTATTGACTCACAGTCGCACAATACTTGTGTACAACTCCTCGGTTGTAAGAACCGCGTTACCGAGTGTCCTTCTCAACAGTTTCCTTTATTACACGAAACTAACCTCTCCCACCAGCCTCCCCATCCAAGTGGCTGTGGGAGGATTAAAACTTACCATATTATGTGTTGTATAGCCGTTTTTGCCTCAAAATTTTTTCCCAATCGATGTTACTAAGTTCTCTTTGCGCTCCTCTGAAATTAGTTCCGTTGTCGGAAATAAATTATTCTCGGCCTTCCCTTTTCTGGCTACGAATCGTCTCAATGACAACAAGAATGCGTCGGTAGACAATGAGGCTCTATATAATCTATATATAGGCTCTATATATATGTTCACATGTGCAATATATAGAGCCGTTCATTTGGAAGTCAATTCCAAATGAACGGCTCTATATATTGCACATGTGAAAAAAACAATCCAAACTTTTTCACCTTCCTTCACATACAAGGATCCTGCCAAATCAACTCCTACCACCTAGAACACCGCTGCGTCATTGACACTATCGCCTGGTAGCGACACCGGCTCGCAACCATGGTACATGGCGCCAACACTGAGAAGGAATCAGACTGTTTATTTCTGTTACTCTATTCGCAACGAACACTGACCAATCACCACGGTTCTTAATCCACCAGAGTGCTACCATAGAATCACTCCATGCAAATAATGTTCAAATCAGGCAAATCTAAGGCGGCGTATACTGAGTGTACCAGTCTCGCGCCAATGCAACAGGCCATCAATTCTAACCGGGGTATTGTCAGAGATTTTAACGGCGCTACCCTGGATTTGGCTCTGATCAATCGAATTTTCACTCCCACGGGCGTTACAGTTCTAATGTAGACACATGCACCATAGGAGCTCTTACATGCATCAACGAATAGATGTAGATCTGAATTCTCATTTATCTCTACATGTCGTGGAATACTAATTTTCTCAAGATATTTAATTTCATCCTGCCACTTCTGAAAAGTTTTTTGAATGTTCTCTGGCAAGGGGTCATCCCATTTTAATTTCATAGTCCAAGCTTTCTGTAATAATAACTTAGGTAACAAAGTAGTTGGACTCAAAAAACCCTGCGGAGAAAACATTTTATGTACCATAGCCAAAATATTACATTAACTTACCTCATTATCCATTGAATAATTAAGATTACATTTTAATGTATCGTTATCCAAATCCCATAAGATTCCAAGAAGAGAAGTTATACCTGAACTACAGGAAATACAATGACCTGGAACATTACTTTCCTAACCCCGTAGGTTAAAACAACCACGAGCCATTACTTCAAATTTTCTTGCTGTTTGATATCGTGAACCCCAATGACACAATTGTCAACATAAAACGAATGCTTTAATTTTTGGATTACATCGTCAAACTCGACAGGGGAATTATTCAAGAGATGCTCTATCGATGCAGAGAGTTGGAACGGATACGAACAAACGCCGAACACCACTCTTCAGGGTCTGTAAATCATAGGTTCTTCAAGAGTAGGAAGAAAAAACCTCAAATAACCTCTGTGTTCTGGGATAATACTCAGCTGAAGAAATGCTTTCTCAATGTCGGATGATAAACCAAAGGAATACAATCTAAACCTGTCAATTATATCAGGTATGAGTTCAATTAAGTTCGGCCCTCTATTTAAACAATCATTTAGGGACGGTTGATTTCTCTCTCAGGCTGAAGCGTCGAACACCGGCTTTACCTTCATTGTCTGGCTAGTATGCTTTACAACAGGTTTATGGGGCAAATAATAACTCAAATCATCAATTTCAGTTTCAGGAACCTTTTCTATTATATTCAGGTCTTCCCATTGCTTAAAAACTACCTTATAGTCATCTAACTGATTTTCCTCATTAATTCGTTGACACATTCTTTGATGTCTTTTAAAAGTCATAGACGTATTATTAGGTAACAGAATTTCAGATTTAAAGGGTAGTTTCAATTCATATCGGCCATCAGGAAGAATATTTAAATTCTCTTTAAATTGCTTAACGGTGTCAGAGTGAGCACGTTTACGTTTAACATCTTCAGTGGGGTCTGTTATGCCCAATGGCATCTAAATTCCAGAGTTCAGTTACGCTAAGATTGGCACAGTGCAACGAAACTACAATATTGCACAAATTATTTCGTAATAATGCTGGAATAGTAGCTGCAGTAGGTTCTTTAGATAAGCTGTTTACGTTACCATTCACAGTGTATCCGAATTTAGTCTCAACTACAGTTAGTTTCAGAGAGCTGCCAGTATTAATGTCCCCAATGGCATCTGCTCCTAAAAGCAACTCATTGTCATATTCTTTAGCTTGCAAATCAGACAAGATAATATTTCTTTCTTTTAATTCTTTCAGGGTATTATGATCAACTACTTTTGGAACACATCCACATATTTTGTTTTGAGAAAGTATTTCAAAGTTATGGTCATAAGTGCCCTCAAAATTTCTGAAATTAACATCAGACACTAAATGCGAATGAGGACTTGTCTCTCGCCCCCCCAAACAAATCTTGTATGGTTTCGTTTCGATTAGGGCGCAGATGGCAAAAACGCGATGACCCTTTCTGAAAGATAAGATTTCTGTGAACCACTGTCCAAAATCGTACGAACTGTAAGTTGTCTACCTTCGAATACTCTTTTTAAAACAAGTGTTTGCAAATACACATATTCATTAACATTTGACTGATTAGACAATACATTACTTGAAATAACAGTACTGTCAGTTTCATTTGGCTTTACAGGTTCGCCATTTGAGCACATTATGATATAGTGAAATTTATCACAAGTTAATTATTTTACTTTATTTTTGCATGCCCGTGAACTATGTCCAATTCGTAGGCAGCGAAAACAGGCGCGCTTTTGCACCAAAAGTTTTCGTTCATCTTTTAAAGACATTTTGCGAGCAGAAAAACATTCGGCAGAATTGTGGGATTTCTCACAAAAAATACAACGTAAATTTCGCCTTCCATGTATTGTCTTGAACATTTACCAAGGCAGCAGCTGTAGAGCAATCCGGATCATCACAATGTGGACGCGAATATGCAGAACGTTAAGTTTCCAACCCGGTACGAGCGAGCTTAATCCTTTCCTCACTTTGCACTTCGTTTCGAAGAAAGCACAAAAGTTTATCCAAAGAACGCGCACTATCTTGCTGTGACGCAGTATCTTCTATCGAGCGGTTTCTTTCCCACGCACGAAGAACAGTCTCTGGTGAACAGGACTCAACAAGTGGCTCTAAAAATTCTGCAAATTTTTCCTTAGTTCTACCAAGGCTTTCGAGTGCCATAAGCTTGCTCTCAATTAAATCATAAAGTTCAGCTAAATCTACTTTAACCCGACCAGCAGCATTTTTCATTACTATGGAAAGTAGATCCCGTACATAAATCTGAACCAAAAGTTCATCTCTACCGAAGCGTTCTTTAAGTTGTGCAATCACCTTTGAACAGTTTTCTTTAGTTAGCGGAAAACATGTTACCGGTCTTGACGCTTTAGAATCTGCTACCACACATTGTAACAGATATTGAAATTTGTCTTCATCCACAATAGAGTCATCTTTGTGGAATTTTTTCAAACTGGGACCAAAACGGCAAGAAAGTCTTTCGGTTCTCCACTAAATTTCCTCAATTCAAGATTTCAGAAAGCTTGAATTTTCCTTTTTTGCTCGGTTGTTGTTCCTTCCGTAAGCCGAATTTGCCCTTCTTTGCATTTTCTAACAGCGAGCAAATCAAGCAGAACTTGTCTCGATATTCTTCTGCTTTCAAAAAAATCTTTGGAATATTCATCTTGAAGGATATCGTCACTTAGCAACAAATTCGAAACTTCTCGAATTGTTTCCAAACATGTGAATTTGTCCTTGAATCTGCCTTAAACGAATGTACTGAGTTCATCACTTTTCCTAAACTTTTGTTTTTGATCTTTCTGAGCTATATCATTGCAGCATATCGTAAATGCTGTTCTCAGCAACTTTCGTTTTGCTTTTAAGAACTTTTATATCCATATTTCATCAAAAATATAAAGTCACGGACGCCATATTTACTATGTTGCAACTCTCAGGGCTACATCGTGCAGGTTACAAATTAAATAATTATAGCAGGGATTATTAATATAAAGATTTTAATATGGATATCTCACACAAGCGGAAAACGTTACATTACTCCATCAAGTGCATACATATAACTGAGTGAAAAGAGAATTTGCCCGCTTAGTTCGCAGCTAAAGGAAAAAAAATAAGAATAATAAAAGATAGTCCAATCAAATGCTGCGCTCCTTCTGTGGACTTCGCACAGCCGTTACGTAATCGTCTGTCTGCAGCAGCCGTTTCCAACAAGCAGTATAATTACGAATCTTCCCATACAATAATGAAAAGCTAAACTAAAACGTAATAATGTAAGTACAGTGAAGACACCAAAAGCATATTTAAGGTTGTATTTATTGTTTTGATAGTATAATGAATAATGAAAACTGAAATGCGACTGTCTCGCAATACAGATGATTAGAAAAAAATATTAAAGCATACTAAATTGTTGCCTATGTAGCACTGTTAATGAAACATTGTCTCCGGAATATAGTGTGCGCATTTTATTGTTTAAATATATTTTGAAACTGTGCTTCCTGATGCCTTTCATAAGTTAAAAATTAAGAATCATAATTTTCTTTTTTAAAAAGCTACTTAATAATTTTTTTAACTAATTTGACTTCATCCTATTCGTTTGCTTCAGTAACTCTTCTCTTGGCTCTCACACCTGCTAAAAATCGGATGAAAGGATACTGTCCTGATTGAAACATTACATAAGATATTGTCCTGATTGAAATATTACATACAAAGTGGCTATGTTTATGTATAAACTGAATCATAATAAATGTAACGTGATCAGCACCCGAACATCTTTACATTACGGAAATCGCATTTAAAGCGTCTTCATGGCGCTTTTTCGTAAAATTTCCGTGAAATTTAAACATGCATGTCAGTCTCATATTTTGTTAAGAGCTCGTATGTCATATTCTTTACATACATTCTGTTATTCAACGCACTGGGGTTATGAGTGTGATACTAATTCCATCAGCTGTTCTACACGCTATGCTCAAAAACTTTTCCTTTCGCCAAACATCATAAACTATGGTTGTCAAAATCATTACCATGCCTTAAACCGTTTACCTGATAATGCCGCTGTATTGTGCAGCGCAGAAACGAGTGCCGTCTGCAATTTGTCGTGACCATGCGACCCACACAGAAAAAACTTTATTGTCAATGGATCCCACAGAATTTTCTGAATTCTTGAAAAGTAACAAGATCACTCGATGTTTTTTTATTTGGAGTGATTCCGAGAACAGAGTTGTTGCATCCCATACTGAACTACAAGAAATTGAGGATTGGCTGAATGATCCCCGTAATCCTCATTATAAACAACATGAAGCAATATTCTTGACTCTAGGTATGCGAACGAATAGTTTACAGGGAGCCTTTTTATGGAAAATCGAAAGGGGGCAATCTGTAAGCAGTTTTTTTCATCATTGAATTCATTTATACAAGTGTGAATTCATGAGTTATATTTATTAAATAGGTAGTACAAAAAGTTTAATAAAAGTGTACTTTTTATTTGGAGTTATTAAACTATCACAAATGTGGCAGTTCTTGAATACAAGCTTGAAGTATTTGTAATTTTTATTTAAGCTTTTGAAGGTAATTAAAGCTAACTAAAATGTGTGTTAGGCAATGCAATGTGTTATATTTTAAGTCTTTTATTTTAACTTTATGAGAATGGAACCAGAAGCATTTTCATATTTTTGACTCTTATCAGATTAAATCACAGTTGTATATTTTTTCAAATTTCATTTCTCACTGCATATGCTATTTTGTGTCATTACATATATGCTGCTGTGTACATTCAGTGTGTGTCAGCACATATATGCTATTATGTAATCAAATAAGAGCAAACATTGCAGTTAAAAATTTGCCAGTATAGTTTACTTTTTCCCTTGTGTTCGTCAATTCTTATCCTGCTTTTGTTTGAACATGTGTGAGAGACTAGTTATTTTTGGAATTTGATTACAAAGATTGTTTTCTTGTTAGTATTTTGAACACACATTGCCAAGTTCCTAATTAACATCAATGATTTTGATGTGTCTTGAAGTTAACATAAGTAAGCATCATAAAACTTTATTTTAAAATATTTTATGAACAGTAGTTATTTACATAAAGGATTCTTAGTCAATAAAACTTAAAATGATATTCTAATAATTAATAATACTCTCAAATAAAATCTCTCTCTAAATATTCTCAAATCACATCCTCGTTACTTTCAACTAATCTTGAAACTTACAGTTATTATCATCTGTTTTTGTTAATGGCTAGCATTCACTACCGTACACTATAATAAGTTTAATAAGAGTTGTATAAAGATCTATTTTTGTCTTGAATTTTAATAATTTTGATTAGGGAGGCACAACCTGTGGCCCACAAGTGGTCAACTTGTGGCCCACCAAGACCTTTTCAAATTTTTGTTGTGATTTCACATATTAGTTGTCTCTAGAAAGGGTTGCAAGCAAAAAAATTTCACCACTCCCCCCTTCATTTCTCATTTTATTCTGTCTCCTCGAAGTGAGATTTGGCACTGCACCAAGTTCCCGCCGTCAACCAAACTATGTATCCACTACCTGAACACAAAAATTGCTCCGAGCCTGTGGGACCAACACCTGTAGAAGATTGAGAAAGAGTCTGTGGTATGACATAGCACAAGTGTGTTTGCACCTATGCGCTAGTAAAGTTGAAGAGAAAATAATTTGCTCAGATCTGAAGCGGTGCATTCATTTGCTTGCCGTCGTTGCACTTTTCGGCTTGACTATGCATTGTTTTATCACGTGTGTGTTTATTTTTCTTTTCAAGACCATTAAGAAGTTTCATGTTTTGAATATTTCACTTTTTTGTTTAAATATTATTTTGAAAGTGGAACCAACATAGAATTTTTGCAATTTTTGTTCCATGTGGTTTTGATAGTTGCCATGATGAATGGATGCAAAACGGAAAAAAAAGCAAACTATAACAGGAAATTTTTGGAGGCTTTTTTTTTTTTTTTTTTTTTTTTTTTTTTCAAAATACTTTTTTTGTTGAGAAAAATAATAGAATTACATGCTTGATATGTAATTTTATGATTACTTCCTGCAAGGTGTATAACATTAAGCAACACTACGACATGAAACACTCAACATTTTCAAAGCTTGAGGGAGAGGATCGAATCTCTTCACCATTCTCTCGTTGCTCAAAGGAATATATTTACAAAGGCATATTCACAGTTAGATAATTGTATTGAAGTTAGTTTGGGAATTGCTAAAAGTGGCTGCCCATTTATTGATGGCTATTTAGTAAAGAAATGTATATTGGCTTCTGAGAATGTATGCCGTGAAGCTATGCAGAAATTTAAAAATGTGATTCTCAGCAGAATGACAATTCAAAGAAGAATTGAAAATTTATCTGATGATGTTACTGAAGAGTTACAGAATGCTACTGCCAAATTTAAGACTTTCTTTAGCAGCCGATGAGTCAACAGATATTACTTCAATAGCTCAGCTTCTTTTGTTTGTCGAAAATTTTGAAGTAACTGAAGAACTTGTTGGAATGAGTTCAATGAAGGGCCGAACAACTTTAACTGATATTTTATCCTGTTTTAAATTTGTGTTCTGCTCCTAATTTTGATATTAACAAACTTGTTAGTATGTCTACTCACCATGCCATTCTGAATTCCAGCCATGATTGGAATTAAGAATGGCATGGTGAATCTACTGAGAAACAATTTGGATGATAGAGGAAAAGATTTGCGTGGGTATCATTGTATCACGCATCCAGAGCAGCTGTATGCGAAAGAACTAGGATTTGACCATGTTCTGTAAGTAATGAGCGATACAATCAATTTGATTCGCTCACATGGTTTAAACCACAGGCAATTTAAGGAAATCCTAGAACACACTGATGCACCACATAGTGATCTCATATATTACTCTGAAGTACAATGGATGAGCCGTGAGTCTTTGAAAAGGTTTGTTGATTCGATTGATGAAATAATACCATTCCCTGAAGAAAATGGCGGCTAATCTTTGGAATATGGTAACTGGTAGTTTGGCGACATTTTGGTAAGGGGATAAAGGTTACTAGCTAGAACTTTAGCAGTGTACATGGATAAAGTCAAGAGTGTGCGCAATGCCATTTTTGTGCAATTTTGGGATTTTTTTTAAGTGAAAATAGGTCGACGTGTACACGGATGATATCGTGTATGTGCAATTCTTAAAAACGCGGTAAGTAGTTTGTGATTCTGCACTTTCTCCCAATTTTGCACCTAATCTTCGTCATGATTAAGAACTTTTGTTCTATAAAAGTTCTAGTATAAGCGTAATTCGCCTAGCAGATTGTTCAAAAAAATGTTGAGTAAAAAAAAAAAAAAAAAAAAAAAAAAAAAAAAAAAATGCCTTTACTTCATGAAAACAAAATGGCATCCAAAACAAAACTAGCAGATTGCTGTTGCAGGATTGGTTGCCAAATTTTTGCCAAAAAATCGCCAAGTTACCATAATCCAAAGATTAACAAAAATGGCAAGCAAACTAGGATGTTGAAGGAACCATTTTTCAAGTGTGGCTTAGCATTTTTAGTTAATGTGACAGCCCATCTGAATGACCTAAACAAAAATTGATGAAACTAATTCATCAATCACCTGGTCAATGCAGTATCTGCTTTCAAACTAAAACTCCAGCTGTTCTCAAAGCAGCTTGGCTGTCAAAATTTTGTCAATTTTCCTTATTTGAAAAAACTCGAAGAAACTTTTCCTGTTAAACAACTGGATTATTCAGATCAAATAAAGAGACTTCTTATTTCTTTTGAAAAGTGATTTGGAGACTTTGAGTTGCATAAAGTTAAACTGTTCGAGGACTCATTTTCTGTTGTAGTCGAAGAAGCTCTAGAAGATGTTCAAATAGAACTTATCGATTTACAAACTTCTGACTTATGTAAATCCAGATTCCATGATTTAGATATTCTGGACTTTTATAGAACTTAACCTGCCGAAGTTTTGTGCTTGAAAATTAATGCAAGCAGATGTGCTACCATGTTTGGTAGTACTTATATATGTGAACAAACATTTTCTCGTATGAATCTGAAAAAGTCAAAATTAAGAGTAAACTGACAGATCAACACTTGCAATCTTAAGAATATCAACGACTAACTTTCAACCAAATATATAAAAAATTGTTGATAAAATTCAGTCTCGACCATCTCACTAATGTATTTAACTATGGGTAACTTGTACACGTTTTTATTAAAATACAGTCAAAAGTCGTTAATTCGGACACCCATAATTCGGAATGATCTATAATCCGGACCTCAAAGCTAAAAACTTTCTGCGCATGCGCCGCATTGACACATGCGCATAGGCGTTTACGCGTTCGCGTAAGACTCTTACGACTGCGCATTTGCGTGTGCGCAAGCGCAGAATACGTTTTCGCATGCGCGTTTTATGTATAACGGACGGTGTAAGCTAAAATTATCTAATTATCTATTTCAGTTAATGTTGATGATTGCGTTGTTCCTTAATTTTCGAATTGGATCCGGCTTATTATTTTTTGCAGACTGTAAGAGCAATACTATAAAAGTAAACTTGAACTTTCGATTATGTCAAATAGAATTTTTGATTCTGGAGCTCCCAAAGGATCGTACAAAACGAAAAGTATGTTTCGATGTTGTCCATCAAACAAAAAGTGGAATTGCTGCAAAAAAAATGGATAAAGACATGAAGAATGTGACAGAGAGGTTAGTGAAAAACGAAAAAATTTTCTATTGACTAGTTAGTCGGTATTCTCGGCACAGCAATTAACGGGACTTGAACAGCGGAACTTTGTAAGTGAACAAAAAATTATGTCTGTTTATAGAATTAAAGAGAAAGTATATATCACATAAAACGAAGCAACTTAAACAACTTACATTGAAAGAAATGTTTAATAAAGTAAACAAATAAATATTAAGCTTTTTTTTTTGTAAATTTTGATACCCTTTAGATCATAATTGTTCTTTATTTCATAAATTACGGTTTCATATTTTTAATTTTATAATTTCTGCATGCCATCTTACGCAATTTAAACTGATGATCGATAATCCGGAATCGCTGAAGTCCCGACAAGTCCGGATTAACGACTTTTGACTGTATTTCTATATAAGTATTAAATTATCATGCACAAGCTTTTTTTTTTTTTTTTTTTTTTTTTTTTGTCCAAGCTGAACTGGGTGTTTTGGCCCCAGTAGCACATGCAAGGGAAAAGGGAAACCCTCATCCATCTTTGCTTACATAATACACAGTGGTCTCCAAATCAATCCATTAGCTCTAAATAATCTATTGTCAATTTCAATAAGTACCAATTACCAATGGTATTATATCTGTGCAAATAACAGTGATATAAACACTTTAAAAATTGCACCAACTAAAATTTCAGTGTTTTTCAAATACAGTAGAGTCCCGCAAACTTGACATAAAGTGGACTGAGAGACTATCGAGTTTTACGGAATAAGGAGTGGGTTTTTCAGAACTCTTAATATTTAACCCTTTCATGCATGTGATATTATATTTATAATGTTTTAACTAAAAAACTCTGGAAATCGAACATTATGATGCTAGAGACGAATAATGTATGAATTTTAAAAAAATTTACTCTTGCGCATTGATCATTGGGTGATGTTACCAGTTTTTCCATCTGTCGAGCCAGCCAGAACTAGCAGTAAATCCAGGCTCTCTTTCTTAAAATTCATAGTAAAATTTTAGGGCTTTCTCTTGCAAGATTGGTCCCGAAATGAGTGTTCTCTGTTCCCTTTGCTGCCTGAACTACAAATAAAGCGTCTCACTCACCTTTTCGTATTCAACACCTTTCATACTTTTTCTTTCCTTTAAACTATTCGTACATGCTCTTTTCACGTACAAAGACTCGATTTCAGACCTCATCTTTTTCCACCATATCAAACTACTCTGCCTCAACACCTAAATCCATGGTAACTTTGTTTACACTTTCTCCTTTGTCCATTTCTTTAAGGCATCTTTCATTTCCATTGTCATAGTTTGTTTTCTTTTCAAATGACATTTTCACTTCATAGAATATCAAAAATTCCCCAAAATATGTAACACTTGGAATGCCTGGATGTGAACTGAGGAACGAAACCCGCAGTGAAATGGTGCGAGTTTAGTTGTCAATAAGATGCAGTAACAAAATTTCAGACAAGTCTCCTAACATTTCGTAACAATAGAAAGGAATGTGAGCCAGCAACCAGCTGCTACCTGACTTTCTTCATATCCTCGAAAGAAGCAAACAGCATTGTTAAATATTACAACATATCTTGAAATTTGTTAGGCAGTTCCAAGAATTAATGGCAAAAATTACAGAAAAAGTAGTCTCCAGTCATTGAAATGAGACACAGAGACATATGCATAAATAATAATTATATGTAATATTCGTACTGTTTGGCCTGGAGATATGTTTAAAAAGTTCCGGAAAGTTGTTGAGTTTGTGGGACTGTACTGTATTTCCTTTCAGCTTGATCTGTCACCTTTTATTTTATGTATTAACTTTAAAATGTTGCTAATGAAATATAAAGTTGAACTAATTATGTTAGGTGACCTAATGTAATTTATGTTTTTCCAGTTGTTAAGCTCAGTTTGAATGAATATATTTTTTAATCATTTTATAATATGTATTTTGTTTTGTGTTTCAGTGTGGTGGTATTAGAATGATCCCATTTAATTCTATGGAACATTATATTTCTGAAGGCTTAATGCTTTCTCGACGTTTGGGCGTTAAGTCTGCTTTGGCAGGATTGTGGTAAGGTTTTTTTATTTATCAAATCTTCTTTGTTTGTCAATAATTTATGTACTTGATATGGTCCCTGTATGTGCTCAAAATATCAAGATTTGTAGCGAGTTTTTTTTTTTTTTTTTTTTTTTTTTTTTTTTTTGTCAAATTATTCTGTAAATATGTGCCATTTTTAGATAAGAAAGTGAAATCTTAAGTTGGAAACATGATATTTATACTTCTGCTCTCCATCAATGAACTTTAAAATTCCATGCTCAACGAAATTGAATCTTCCTTTGCGGCAGTGATGATCTCCTCAGCCAGCTGAAGTCAGCACCTTCAGAGCTTTGCTTTCAAGAGGAGAACTAAAAGAAATATCATAATGCAATATCAGGTGAGTATGGAGGGTGTGACAAAGTGATGACATGTTGCTTTGTCAGCCCTTCTTGGATAAGCACATATGCATTTGCATTCTGTAGCTGCAGCCAGACCTTTTCATGCCAAAGCCTGAAATGGTTACAGTGAATTAAATTGTATAGATGCTGAAGAGCTGCAAGTATAAATCTTTGTTTAGAGTAGCTTCTTATGGGATAAATTTTATGAGAATTTTACACATGAAGAGTCAAAAAGCAATCAAGCAAGTATAACTTTGCCTTTCTGATCTGTCTTGTTGCACTTTGTTCCTTCTGTGGAATGATGGTCAGTCATCATCACTTCAGTTGTGAATCATAAAGAAAATCCTATGTTCAACCTCCTGATATGATCTGGTTCAGAATGATACCATCTTTATCATTATTGATCAGGTTGCAAGAAATGATCATGGAATCAGGTTTCTTTCAGGATATATGAAACAGTATGCTGCTTAACAGAGCTGGATTAACCATTAAGTGAAATAAGCATGTGCTTAGGGCCTCAAGGAAAGGAGGCACTATAAAAAGGTCATTAAGAACTCAGGGAAAGGGGACACTATAAAAAAGGTCATTAAGAACTCAGGGAAAGAGGGCACCAGAAAAAATTTCCATTGACAGTTTTAACACAGAATGATGCAGTTGAACAAAGACCAAGAAAAAAGAAATAGGAAAAAGGAGTAAATGTAAGTGGGGGCACCAAAATCTTTTAAGTGCTTAGGACCTCTAAATCTTAATCTGGCCGGGCTGCTTAATGTGACTCAACCAGAATATTTTGTGAAATATGGTGTTTGGTCTCACCTGCTGTTATAGGTGTGCAATCAGTTGGCAGTTTAACCTTCTCAAATTTTACCTTTAATTCCTGACCATTGGCTGCTGGTGTGCTCATGTGTCTCAAAACTGTTTGTTCTTTATGAAAAACATTTATATTATTTTAATACAGCTTTGTGACAGAAGTCTTCTTTATCATACATTTTCTTTTCTTTCTTTCTTCACAGTTACCATACAGTTTCCAAAATTCTTCATTTGTAGATGTGTCAAATTTTTGGCAGAATTTGACATCATCTTGCTCAAACTGTCATAGTCTCTGTTTCTAACATTTGTACTCCACACCATTTGCAAAACTGAATTTATTTTCAGATAAACTCCACACTCTGTCTCATGCTAAAGTTGGGAGGAGGGGAGGGGGAGGGGAAACCTGCAAACTTTTGCTGCAGGTCATTATGCAGCAATATCGCTATGCGGTTAGTTTATGAAACTGGATGCACCTCTGTGGTATAGTTATATGTAATCCTAAATTACACATACAAAATAATTTCTAATTGATTGTTTTGCTTTGTTTCTGAGAATGTGTGTTAAAGATTTTTATTTAACAATAAAATAGTCATAATATTTGGAGGAGGAGGGAGTTTTTCCCCCAGTCAATACTATTATCATTGTTTTTACACATTATAAAGTGTAATATTGAAATATTATTAATGTAAGTATACAGTATTAACAAAATGACATATTTTAAGTAACTAATGCTCTTTTAGGCTAATTATACTGAATGTCAGTTTATTTTTTTCCCTGATGAATCTTAAATATTTTACATGTTTTTGGGAAAATAAATCATCTCTTATGTTCCACTGCATTATGTTTTTGAAAAAAAAAAAAAAAAAAAAAGGTGCAATGTGGAATTTATATTGATGAATTTTGTATATTATATAACTGCTGAATTTAAAAAAAAAAAAAAAAAAACTATCAAAGAGACTAATATTCAGATTTTTTATTACTATATTTAAAAAAAATTCCTCATAGTTGATGAGAATTTTTTAACTGAGCAGACAGAATGTGAAACAAGATTTAGCCCTGACTTTGATCTCAACTTCATAATCTCAAAGTGTGAATTCTTACAATAACCTTGAAAATACCATTGATAAGTAATATTTATCATATGTGTCAGTATTGGTCTATTTGTTTTGATTTTTTTTGAGGGAGTGAGAGGTAACGAAGATAACAATGAGTTCCTGTATTTAAAAAGAAAAGCAGTGCACAATTTTCCGAACTAAAAAAAAAATTGTTTTTATATATCCTGTATTTAAAAAAAAATCTCTTTTTAATAGGAAAGCTTTAATAAAAAAAACTCAAAAATTGAAAAAGTAATTCATGTTTTCAATCTTTACTGCATTATTATTTATGAATGATTTAAGAAGGAAATTAGGTCGTCTCTAATATATAATTTCATATAAATTAATTTTTTCTCAAAACTTATTTTATTTGGAAAAAATGTTTCAAACTGTTAACATTCAGTGGGTGAAAGATTGACTTGAAAATTTTAGCTTGTAAAATAGACAAGTTCTGTGATAGTAAATTAGATAACTAATATATTAAATTAAATAATTTAAACATAGGTCAAAAAAGTAATAAACTTTAAAAAATGTGTTTAAGTCTTGCGTAATTTAAATTTGTGATATAATTATGCATAAATTCTAATTCAATTATATTTAAGCAGTTTAATTTTAATGGTTATCAAACACAAAGCAGGAGCAGAATTTTGATGTTAGATTTATATTTGGTCTTTACTATAGTTAATAGGATGTTTTTTAAATACCATCATCATTTCTACTCTTCATTCTGTATTGAATAATAAAAAACAAAGCAGTTGAAGGATTTTCATTTGATCTTTATCACTTAATTAATAATGCATTTTAAAATTACATCATTATTTTTATTTTTTGTATTATCTTTATTAGTGTGTATAAATATCATTATCATTTTTACTCAGGGTTAGTGGAGGTAAAGGCTTAATTTCAGAACCCAAGGATCGACAGCACATTCAGCCTGAATTTCGTCAGAAAATATTCCTTGATTATGGAGATTTTGTAACCTCTTTAAATGGTTGTTTCAGTAAGTTTTTTTAGTTTACTTTTGACTGATATATAGAAATTAAAGCAAATTAATGTATTATTTTGTCTTCTTAGATATACTTCAGAAATTACTGGTACTTCATTTTTATAGCGGCCTTGCACCAAGATCTCAGCTGTAATTTTGCTAAGCCCATGAAGCACTAATGTAAAAAATAAACAGCACAGTATATACTAATAACAGTAATACTCGCATGTCATTTCCTGAGAATATTTTTGAGAATTCTTACCCTTATCCTTACTATTATTTTATTGCATGTAATTGTTCCAGTCAACTGCAGTGCTTTCATACATATTTAACTGTTCATTACCCATTTCATGGATATCAACTTCTCTGCTTAAGAATACCTAATTCTAATAGCAATGACGAATGATATTCTAGAACTGCTGAATCAGTTTCCAACATGGAGACCCTTCTTTTTGCAATGTTTAACATTGCACCTCCCAGTGTTTTTGTCAGCAATATAAGTTTCATGGGTACTAATCCATTTTGAGAACCGTAAAAAATTGCAGTGAAAATGTATGCGCAAAAGCGCTAAATCTAGCAAACGCACCCATTTAACAGCGCACCAAATCTAGCGTACGCGCTGATTTCAGATTACTTAAGTTTATATAGTTCTATATTTTCTAAGACACCATCGAAATAGTAGTTTAATTTTTAAATCCTTTTTTTGATTTTAAATCCTTTTTTGATATCCTATGAATTTAACAATTTGGGAATTGCCCATGATGAAAAGTCCGCAGTAGAATTTTGGGTAAAGTGCAGAATCACCCACTGCTTGACGCGTTTTTAAGAATTGCACATACTCGGTATCCATGTACACGTCAATCTATTTTCACTTTAAAAAAAAATCCCAGAATTGCACAAAAATGGCACTGCACACACCCTTGACTTTATCTATGTACACATCGACCTATTTTCACTTAAAAAGTAAAATAAAATTGACAAAAATCCAATTGTTTTTACCCTTGTAAAAAGCGGCAAACAAATAAGTCGGCGATTCTGCACTTTACCAAAAATTTTTTCAAAGAAAAGGCATCATTCATTATAGAAAATTATGTTTGAACAACCAACGAGATGAAATTATCCTTTAGTGATAACTCGGTAGAGCGATGTAGGCATCCATTCATTTATGTTTAGGAGTTTTTCCATTCAGTCATGTTTAGCCTTTTTTATATAAATTATAATAATAAAAAAGTGTGGTTAATCTTTGGATTATGGTAACTTAACAATTTTTTGGCGAAAATTTGGTGACCAACTCTGCTACAGCAACCTGCTAGTTTTTTTTGGACGCCATTTTGTTTTCACGAAGTAAAGGCTTTTTTTTTTTTTTTACTCAAGATTTTTTTCCAACAATCTGCTAGCCGAGTTACGCTTATGCTAGAACTTTTATGGAACAAAAGTGCTTAATCATGACAAAGATTAGATGCAAAATTGGGAGAAAGTGCAGAATTGCCCACTGCTTGCCGCGTTTTTAAGAATTGCACATACACTGTATCCATGTACACGTCGACCTATTTTCACTTAAAAAAAAACCCAGAATTGCACAAAAATGGCATTGCGTGCACTCTTGACTTTATCCATGTACACTGCTAAAGTCCTAGCTAGTAACCTTTATCGCCTTACCAAAATGTCACCTAACTACCTGTTAAAATATTCCAAAGATGAGCCAAAAGTATTATATGAAATTAACCTTTCATCTAAATTAATACATCAATCTTAGATAGTTATTTACTATTATACTTCCTTTCTTGTGTTAGGGTTGCCACAATTATTTTTGGCAGCACTGGCATCAACAATAGTTTGGCGATTTTTTACGGCCCTCAAACCGAATAGTACCATTTCATGTTGTGCCCATTTTTGAATACTCATTTGTCGGTTAGAAGACCTCTTTTTTGAAAAAATATATGGCATCCACCTCATTACACGTAAAATTAAAAATTGTTAACATCATATTCACAAACAAAAGCAGTGAATATATTTTTAAGTAAACAATGCAAATTCGAAAACCTCATCAAAAATAAATAATGTAAGAACTTGCAGCGATAGTAAAAATGCAACATGTGCTAATACATGATTATGTGGCAAGGTGTAAGAACATATAGCCAGATTCTGGTGTAATATCTTGGTTGATTGGCAATTCAATCTCAGGGGCTTGCTGTAACAAAGAAGTACCAGATTATTTTTATTGTGTATATTACATTTTAGTATTATTTTAGTAGTATATTACAATATTTGCTAAAAACTGAATATTAAATTATGCATAATAAAAGAATATGCATATTTAATTTCATAGTGGTTTCTTCTTACTTTATGATGTGAAAAAGAAAAGTTGTGCTATGATATCTGCTTAGCTAATTTTTATTAAATTATGTATTCTGTCCTTCTGTTCTAGTTTATAAATTGTTTTTAAACTTACAAATGCCATTCACTGCTTTAGTCTGAATGCTTGTTGAAATAATTTTTCTCTAAGATACAACTTAAACCAGACTTAACTGTTGTTCTTACACTTCGTAAGAACAACAGGTGTAAGAACAAAACTATATGTTCTTACACCTCGCCACATAATCATGTATTAGCACATGTTGCATTTTTACTATCACTGCAAGTTCTTATATTATTTATTTTTGATGAGGTTTTCGAATTTGCATTGTTTACTTAAAAATATATTTACTGCTTTTGTTTGTGAATTAAACATATCTAAGCTTTTTGGTGATTGGAACAGGACTCAAAACTGTTTATATATATGTATTTATACACACATGTACATTTCTGAATCTGAACCCAATAACAAAAAGTATTGATGTATTATAGTTATTTTTTACTCATTTAGTTTTCATCTTCTTTTAGTAACTTCTGTCAATCTAAATTTGGTGAAAGTATATTTTAGGGTACTCCTTGGGGATTTTTGGTGGTACATGGATACCAAATTTGTGCAATTCTTTGACTTATTATTTTGGCTTGCATAATGGCGATTTTTGTGCCAAAAATCACCGCTGCACAAAGTCAAAATAACAAGACAAAGAATTGCACAAACTTGGTATTCACGTACACATTGACCTACTTTCACTTTAAAAAAAAATCCCCAAATTGCTCAAAAATGGCATTGCGTAGGCCCTTGGCTTTATCCATGTACACGTCAACCTATTTTCACTTTAAAAAAATCCAAGAATTACACAAACTTGCATTGCGCACTCTCTTCACTTTGTCCATGTACACATTGATATATTTTCACTTAAAAAATCAAAGGAGCACCCAATTCTACAATACAGGCAAACAAAAAATACATAATCTAAATAAACTACATTTTAATCAAACAATAAAATAACATAAAAAAGGAAAAACATGTTATACATTTAAGCACTACGGAAAGCAAATATCCACTTACTCTATTTAGAAGTTCTTTCGTCTTTAGTCTGTGGCACACAAAATTCCTTAACAGCATCCAAAATCTTTTTAAAATTATTTAAACTCGAATCCATTTATCGGCATCGCCATATCTGAACCTTTCTTCCTACAAACTCATTCAAATACATCTAAATGGTTTTTACGTTCGACTAGACGCATATCCTTCATACATACAGGACACTTATAATGGCTACTAAGTAAACCTTTATTTACACACCAGTCAATTAATGGTCTTTTCCCCTTTCGTTCCAAATCATACAGAAACGTCAAATTAATCTTACTAGATTCAGCCATTCTACCGTCTAAACAATAAAACCAACACACCCCACAAAAGCACTTACAAAACATCCCATAATTCAAAATTTCTCAGAATCATGCACCCAATTACGTCACAATAGGATTTCCATAACATTCAACTACTCAGGCTATCATAAATGAAACAACAACTTGGCGATAAATGAAACAACTTTGTCATAATACAACTTTACTTCAGAACAGTAAATTTTGAAATACAATTCAAAATTTACTGTTCTGCAGTAAATTAATAATAATTTTATCTTTATTGTCTGAATGCCACATATAGGTGCTAGAAATAGGCAAGTGCGATATAAGTAATAAAAACGTGATTTAATTTTCTAGCTATGCTTATTTACCATGCGTCTTTTCTGGACCAAGTAAAAATATCTTCATTAATGTATAAAAGAGGAATACATTTCAGATCAAAATGAGGTTTATTTAGTTCAATTTTTTAAATAAAGTTTTTATTTTCAGTTACTTTAAAATATATCCTATGCATTTGTTTTTTTACAAAATTACAGTCAGAAGTTATATTTTTAAAATATCCCCAAAGTAAAGTTTAGAGTGCATTCTGCAAGACAAAATACTGATTTGGCTGAAATATGATGTAATGGTTTTTCAAATGCTCGCCCCCCCTTTTTTTAAATTTATAATTATCTATTTCAGTTTTTTTATATCAGGTAGTATTGTAATCTACATAATGAAATAAATAATAAAGATCAGCTTAATATCTTGACCAAATTAGGAAAAAGTGTTAAAAAAAAACAAAGATTATAAGTTTTCTCCTTTTGCAGAAGTTAATGTATTGATTTAAAATTTTTTATTATGAAGGAGGCATCAAAACTCAATTCAAATTTTGTGTTGAAAAATATATTTGAATTTGTCAAAATTTCTGTGTTGCAAATTGATAGAAGTTTAAATTATATTGCTTTTTAATAAAAATGTTTCCTTAGAGGATTTGTATAGAGGATCTTAGCACAGTAAAATTTAGGTAAACTAAGACTGAACAAATCTGGGAAAAAAAAAAAAAAAAATTGTAATTGAAAATTTGACTGAATCAAAAAAGTTACTGTAAATTTGGCATTCAGTTATGCTTCTGTTTTACTTTTATTATTAAACTGAAGAAGCAGGCTTCCATTATGGTTGCAAGTTTGACATATTTTGATTTTGATTTTAGTTTTTACAAAACAGATTTAATGTTTCTCTTAATTCTTTAATCATATGTAAAATTTTCCTTGTTACTTGATCTTACCCAAGTACTACAGCTAAATGAAGAGTTACATCTTTAAACAGGGTAGTATTTATTTATTGTATATTTTCAGTGTTAGTCATTGATGTTCATAAATTAGTTTTTTTATGTGTAAATGTCTATTGAAAAAGTATTTAGTTAGGTTAATTTACTTTTAAATCACCATTTTTGGTATTTTGTGCCAAAGAATTTTTTCTTTAAATACAAGTTGCAGGTATGGACAGTGGAGTCAATACTTTTGACCTTTACAATGTTCATTCCCGTTCGAGATGGGTTGTCTCAGGGCCTGAAGATATTGGAGGTTCTGGAAATGCTGCTGTTCTTTTGGCTAGAGGTATTTTTCTCTTATATATTCTGTAAGCTTCTCTTTTTCCTTGAGCAAATTTGTGTTATAAGACAACTTTAAAATTTTTTGGTACTTTTCCGTTTTGCCGGCGCAAGCGATAAAGTCGCCAATAATGGTACAACCGATGCCAAACGGAATATTCTCGCTGGTAACCTTTTACGCCTCATTTTTAAAACAAGTCGCAGCTTCTTTTTTTTTTTTTTTTTTTTTTTTTTTTTTTTATCAGATTGATTGTTTCTTTCAATACTGGCATACAATTACACAGAATTTTTATCAGATAGTTCAGTTTTATGTCTAAAGCCATTTTCGGTAATTACGTCAATCACAGCGCTTACCCGAAGCCGAAAATATAGAAAAGGTAAAGTCAAGGGTTAAATTCATCAATTCTAATGAGAATGCATTAGCGAAGTAAAGCACTACAGTTTTACATAATTTCTGAGTAAGCTATTCGTACGAATTGAAATATTTCTTGCATTTAAACTTGTGTTCCAAATTAAGATTTAACTTGAAATTAATGTAGATAATTACTGAGAGCATTAGATTTTTGCAGAGTATTTTACGTGAGATGAGATCGCTTGGGGTCACGTGATATGAACCGGCGAATCAGGATGTTGAACCATGAAAGCATAGTAAATTCTTAAATTAATGTCTTTTTACAAATTTATTGTCTTTATTTATTGGCTTTTTATAAAATTTTAAGCGATATTAAAATGTTTATGCTTGCGAAATAAAAAATTCTTAGAACTAACATTTTTTAAATATTTTTTATGTGTATACTGTATGTTGTCGCCAATAAAGTCTGCTTGGCGAGATTTGCGCGGACGAAACAGAAAAGTACCAATTTTTTTTTATGTTTAATATTAGTGTAGATGCATTTCATTTATATGATATTGGTATTTCACTGTTTTTTGCTCATCTGCATGGTATTTTTCTTTTTATTATTTTATTAATTTTACTGTATAAAATAATAGCAAATTTATGTGACAGTTGGCATCTTATTAATTGCGCATGTGAATTTAGAAAATCTTATAATAACTACAATAAAACTTCATTTATCCAAACTAAATTGGGCAGAGTCAATTCTTTATGTTGTGGTATTCTGTAATATTACTTTTTGTTCTGTACTATATTTTTATAACATTCTGTAATGGTTCTTAACTGTTCTGCAGTAAAGACATACAGTAGAATCCTGTTTACGCAAATTAATTAGAACAGAGCTGTTTGAAATAAATCTTGACAATTATTTTCTGCAGTTAATATCAAAAATAAATATATATCACATTATTAAACAAAATTATATATTACAATATATTTTGCATAACTACATTAGATAAAATAACAGTTGATCTTTCGAGTTACTTTCTTGCATTGCTGACAAGTATTTAGGTTGCTTCACTATTTAATGAACAGCGTATGTAAAAGTCATCTACTAAATATCAGAAATGTTACATTTTTCCAGTTTTTCAGCATTCTGGTATATTTTTTTTCTTCATAAACAGTTTACTTGCATCTAAAGAATGAAACTTTGGTAAAAATTTGAATTTTAAAAGTCTGAGGTTACCAGTAAATGACCAGCAATAAGCTTTATGTAAACTCTCACTTCCTGTTGATCATTTGTAAATAAAATCTGGTTTTTTAAGATAAGCAAATTTGCAACAATAGAAGCAGAAAGTGAAATGTGACTTTTTTTAGATGAAAATTGGTTTCAAAGTAATCCTGAATATTAATACAGTCAAAAGTCATTAATCTCGACACCCATGATCCGGACCTCGAAGCTACAAACTTTCTGCGCATGCGTCAACGCATAATGTGTTCATGCATGCACGTAATACTTTTACGCGTGTGCACGTGCGCATAATACATTTACGCATGTGCGTTTAATGTATAACGGACGGTATAAGCTAAGCTAAAATGATCTAATTATCTATTTCAGTTAATGTTGCAGATTGTGTTGTTCCTTAATCTTCGAATTGGATCCGGCTTATTATTTTTGCAGACTGTTAGAGCAATTTTGTAAAAGTAAGCTTGAACTTTCGATTATGTCAAATAGAATTTCCGATTCTGGAGCTACCAAAGGATCTACAAGCGAAAGGATGTTTCGATGTCCATCAAACAAAAAGTGGAATTGCTGAAAAAAATGCATAAAGGCATATCCTTTGTTTCTCTAACCATTCTGAAATCTGTTTATCAATTTCACGCTGTTCTGCGGGGCAGGGGGGGGGACGTCGCTGCGTGCAATGAACTGGAAGTTGATCTGTCAGCACTATCCTTATCTTCAGGCCAGATGTTTTTATTTTATTCAGCTTATAATTCCTTACTAAATGTAGTATTTCATCTCGATGTACTCCGTCTTTGATATGATTTAAATCAAATTCCTCATCATTATAAATATCACGAATACACATCAAATAGTTTTCTGGTTGCAATTTTCTAATTTCGACTATGCGTAATGTATGCTTTACGCATGCGCTTATTGAAAGAAATGTTTAATAAAGTAAACAAATAAATATTAAGCTTTTTTTTTTTGTAAATTTTGATACCCTTTAGATCATAATTGCTCTTTATTTCATAAATTATGGTTTCATATTTTTTATTTTATAATTTCTGCATGCCATCTTACCAGATTTAAACTGATGATCTATAATCCGGAATCGCCGAAGTCCTGACAAGTCCGGATTAAAGACTTTTGACTGTATTTAAGCTTCTAAAATTTTTGGATGAAGTCTTTATATAAGAGCCTGCATCATTAGCATAATGCAGGGATCATGTGTCATGGATTAATATGGAAATATGCAGTTTAGAGAGATTTTAATAAGCAGTTACAATTTTTAGAACAAAAAGAAAAAATAACAAAACTAAAATGAAGATTTACAGAGCTATTAAAGTTAATATTTTGATTTACATGTTTTTTATATTAAATATCTGAATTTGGAAATAATAATAATTGTAAAAGCTGAAATATTAACTATTCTGAAAGAGGGTTCGTATGGTCCTTGAGAGTCCTTAAATTTTTTGGAATCGATTTTTGGTCCTTAAAAGTCCTTAATTTTGGCCAAAATCAGCAGAAGGTCCTTAATTTTAAGCATCTGAAATTTCAGTCTGTTTTTACGACTGCCATTAAGTGTAAATTAGCATTTTGGAGGAAAATTTTTGGTGATTCACTGACGTATATACAGTCAAAAGTCGTTAATCCGGACTCCTCGGGACTTCGGCGATTCCGGATTATCGATTTTTCCGGATTATAGATCATCAGTTTAAATCTGGTAAGATGGCATGCAGAAATTACAAAATTAAAAATATGAAACCGTAATTTATGAAATAAAGAACAATTATGATCTAAAGGGTATCAAAATTTACAAAAAGAAAAAGCTTAATATTTATTTGTTTACTTTATTAAACATTTCCTTCAATGTAAGTTGCTTCGTTTCATGTGATAATACTTTCTCTTTAATTCTATTAAACAGACATAATTTCTTGTTTAGTTACAAAGTTCCGCTGTTCAAGTCCTATAATTGCTGTGTTGAGAATACCGACTAATTTGTCAATCGAAATGTTTTCGTTTTCAATAACCTCTGGGTCACTTTCTTCACTATCGGAAGCGAATTATAATGACGAGGAACTTGATTTAAATCATATCAAAGACGGAGTACATCGAAATGAAATACTACACTTAGTACGGAATTATAAACCAAATAAAATAAAAACATCTGCCCTGAAGATAAGGATAGTGCTGACAGATCAACTTCCAATCCCTGCGCGTGAAATTGATAAACAGATTTCGGATTTCAAAACATACTTTCGCTTTGTAGATACAAATTACATATATATTAAATATATATCGAAAATTCTATTTGACATAATCTTTCTAATCTATCATAATCTAATAATAACGTTTCTGCCCCCTCCCCTCTGCCGCAGAGCAGTGTGAAATTGATAAACAGATTTCGGATTTCAAACATACTTTCGCTTTGTAGTAAATATATATCGGAAATTCTATTTGACATAATCGAAAGTTCAAGCTTACTTTTTATAAAATTGCTCTAACAGTCTGCAAAAAATAATAAGCCGGATCCAATTCGAAGATTAAGGAACAACGCAATCTGAAACATTAACTGATTTAGATAACTTTAGCTTAGCGTTTAACTCCGTTACACATTAAACACGCATGCGCACAAACATATTCGCAGCCGGAAGGGTCTTACGCGCTCTCGTAAACGCCTGTGCGCATGCGTGAAAGCGACGCATGCGCAGAAAGTTTGTAGCTTTGAGGTCCAGATTATAGATCATTCCGGATTACGGGTGTCCGAATTAACGACTTTTGACTGTAGTTATCTTTTGAATGAGTTCATGGGTTATAATTTGTTTCTATTTCCAATATAAATGATGGGATACTCGAGGTTCTAAACAAGAAGTGAAACATAAGCATAGCAAAACTAATTTTTTCTAATAAAGAACCCTTAAACAAATTTTCGCTTTTGGGGATGTGAATTCTTTTATTAAACGGTTCTAAATTTGGCGACTTATCAACATTTTGGTGATTTTAAGATCAGTTTCTATAGATAATTTTTAATTCCAAGATCTGAGAATTTTTCAACGATTCTTTTTTGAAACATCGTAACATTGATAAATTTCATTAAAATAATGGTAATATATTGAAATTATATTTAAAAATAACATTAAAATAAAACATTTTTATTTTTCACTGTCATATTATAAAGTTTCATTTTATCAACTTATTATTATACAATATTTTGAATCTGAAAAATAAACAAGATATAAAGCACAATTTACGAAACAGCTCTTAGCAAAAGCAAAATTAGCTATTTAATTAATTAAAAATGTCTTCTTTTTAATTTTTTCATAGTAAGAGTTTTTCCCATGTAATTGTGTCAATATTTAAGAATTATCAGAATATGCATCAGTTTTCTCTATACAATTAATTTTACACTTTTCCCCTACCTTTTTTTTTTTTTTTTTTTCCAAACTAT